TTCTTTTACTAATCATAATACCTGGATATTTTTAATACCTGGATATTTGTAATACTTGGATATCTATAATTCCTGAATATTCATAAAACTTGGATATTCATAATACCTGAATATTTATAATAACTGGATATTTATAATAACTGGATATTTATAATACCTGAATATTTATAATAACTGGATATTTATAATAACTGGATATTTATAATACCTAGATATCTATAATGCCTGGATATTTATAATACCTAGATATCTATAATACCTGGATATTTATAATACCTAGATATCTATAATACCTGGATATTTACAATACCTAGATATCTATAATGCCTGGATATTTATAATGCCTGGATATCTATAATACCTGGATATTTTATTATTATATTGAAGAACATCTGCAGCAAGCCTGGCTTTATCCTGGGTTAAGAAATCAACCCTAGCCTCAATATCCTCCCCAACACTGGCAACTAGGAGCCTCTTAACCTCACAGTTCACCTTTACAAGAATACAAATATTTACAATATTGTCCTAACACTGGCAACTAGCAGCCTCTTAACCTCACAGTTCACCTTTACAAGAATACAAATATTTACATTATTGTCCTAATACTAGCAACTAGGAGCCTCTTAACCTCACAGTTCACCTTTACAAGAATACAAATATTACAAATATTTATTTGAAAAAAAAAATACTTTTCAGGAATAAGATAAGGTTCACTTTATAGGGACTGAAGAAATTGTTTCAAGTGACAGTTCATTTATGGAGTGTCATGTCCGATTCAAAACATTACCCTTTACACCTTTGTCTGATCAAGGAAGATATTGTCGTTTTTCTAACTCGAAAGGTGTTTGATTCCAACAATCAACTCCATTGCCTCTGAAGTATAAATGCCGCATGCGCAAGTCAATTTTTAAAGAAACCACAATGGAAAAATAGGCATCTAAAAAAGAAACGATGATGGTTTTCTCATGCTTTCTTACTTCTTCACCGGAAATTACTTTAACAGTCTCTTTATGTAAAAATGTTAACAATAATTTACATTACTTTTACCAGTTTACAATCATATCTTTTTTTAAAACGTAATTAAGGTAATGATGTATCGTGTGAGAATAGATAAATTTAAATGTTAAAAGAAATTTCATAACAAGTTTAACATATCATTGAAATTTTCATATTTATAGATAAAGCCAGCATTGTTTTGAGATTTACTCTCCCAGACGTAAATATCAAAAGTTCTGGCTCAGAAATGTCTATTTACCAATCTATGAAATGTTCTGTCTATTAAGTGACACATGTTTGAAATGTCTCAAAATATTCTACCTGAGTTTGAATCTTCAGCTGTTTCTCCGAGTTCTCCAATGCTACTCTCATCCTTTCCAACTCATTCTCCTTAGCTTTCAGCATAGTTCTATAATTCTCCTCCAGCTCAGGGTTCATACTGGAGTCAGGAGCAGAGGAGTCGACTTCATCCATCTCAAGTTTAGGTTCGGATTCATCCTGGTTGAAAGATTTCTTCGGAGTGGATACAGTTCTTCTCTCAGAACTCTTCCTGCTGAGTTTAGTTTGTATGAAAGGTGTAACTGCTCCCTTGTAGGGTTCGTAAGGCACAAACTTTGCTTCTCTATGTTTCTTGACGGAAGGAGGATAGGTACCTTTAGGGAACATCTTGGGTTTCTCCAGGACTAGTGGAGAACTGGGAAGGTTTGCTTTGGGTGGAGGATTTGAAGTTTTGACCTTTGTTTCGGGAGTTTGAACCATAGATGTAGGAATTGTTTTTGTCTCTTGTTGTGGTTTGGATGTGGTCGGCACCTCCATACCATCTCCTTGCTGCCTCTCTGGAACATCTGGAAATAAACCATAATACATTTCATCTCCGGTTCTCTGTTTGTTTGTCCGATTATGACTCTTGAACCCCTTGACAGAAATTCCTTAAATTTTTATTGAGGAACTCAGTAGAAACACGGAAAAAATTAAAACTTGAATTAAAACTTCCAACTTTTTGAAGGTGAAACTCAGTTTCCAGGCAAAGCTATGTTTCCGAGCTAGTTTTTTTTATAAAATATTGTACGTTCGTCTATGAAGGTTTATTTTTGCTTGCTACTTTAAGGCGTATCTATGTACATTGAACACTGTATGGTGACAGTGCTCTACATGCATGAATCCAGGAATATATTTAATGAAATCCAACTCAAAACCAAGATGGATGACAAGAACCATTCTAAGAAACATCAACTAAAAAGGAGACTTTAGATAAGTTACAAGATGCACAGAGACAATGAAACCTATATGAATAGAAGAAATATGAAAAACAGGTATAAAATTCTATCAGAAATGCTAAAAGGAATCTTGATAAAAACTTAGCAAATAATAGCATGAACAGCAGAGCTTTTAACTCTTATGTTAAATCAAGATCAAAAGACAAATCAGGGGTTGGACTACTTATTAATGATCAAGGCCAAGTTGTTTCTAGAAGAAAATGGCGGAAATCCTGAACAAGTCCTTCAGTACTGTGTACACTAAAGAAGACATCCACAACATACCTATATTGAAAAGACTTTCCTGCACTTCAATCCTCGACAAAATGATCAAAAGACAAAATTAAGAAGATGAAACCATCACCTACTCCAGGAGTGGATGGATTTACAGTTCCACTTCTCCAGTCTGTATGGGATCAAATTTCCAACCCGTAGTCATTTATTTACAACAAATCTATCCAAGAAAACCAAGTTCCAACTGACTGGAGAGAAGCTAATGTGACACCAATCTTCAAAAAGTGGGCTAGAGGTAAACCATCCAACTATAGACCTATTTCACTAACTAGTGTACACTGCCAAATAATGGAGTCCATTATTACAGACCATATTGAAGACCATTTAACAGAAAATAAACTAATAAATCCTAGTCAACATGGATTTATGAAAAATAAGTCCTGTCCTTGAATATCTTGAAACCATCGCTGAAGCACTTGACTCAGGTTGGATTGTAGACATTGTGTACCTAGACTTTGCAAAGGCATTTGACAATGTCCCTAAAAAACGCCATGTAACAAAAGTCAGAGCTCATAGTTTTATGGAGATCTTCTAATCTGGATTGAATCTTGGTTAAGTGACAGAAGACAGAGAGTAACCTTGAACGGTAAAAATTCGTCATGGATGGAAGTTGAATCTGGAGTACCACAAGGAAGCATGTGATATGTGGTCTAAACGATGTTGACAAATCTCTGTGGTTCCAGCATGTGGCTGAAACCAGTGAACACCTAACAAGACATCTGCTGATATATTCAATCTGAAACCAAAAACTCAAAACTAGAACTAAAGGAATTGCTTTCGTAACAGAGTTGTTAACAAGATATCAAATCTTCCAAAAATGTAAATGTATTCAAGTGTGATCACTACATTAGATCCACATTCCACAATGATCACTTGGATCTATACACAACCCTAGAAGATAGCATTCTACCATCAGATGATAATCAGTTCCTAAATATATCCTCTACATATTCCTAGAGGATTAATTAACACTCAAGTAAGATACAGCGTTTTAAATGTCCAAAATTGTTCATTTAAATTTCTTCCTAAGTTAGTTTTTCATTAAACCAAGCCAATATTACTAGAAAAATTGAAAAAAAAACTTTTTTTAAATCTTCGTTCAGATAATTACTGAGAAAAAAATGTTTAATGTTTTTTTTTAGAATCCCACCTGGAGAAGGTTCCCGACTGGAATGCACCATGGGAGTATCCTGAGAAGGTCTCTGGACAGACCCAGAGCTCAAGACCTTCATATCATTGATGTCTTGAGATGAGGATTGAAAATTAGGTTTAGGATTGTTTATGTCTTGCTCTCTCTCATCTTCACTTGATACTAGAGCCCCCATCACCAGGTTCCACATTGTTTACTCCATCTGCAATAAATTAAATATCACACAGTTCATATATACCGTCCTCAGGGACACTAACCGTATCCAGGGTTCAGATTTACTCGTGTCCTCAAATGCATGTGTTTTCTTGTGACGTTAAAAGCTTAACGAGATAGCTTTAGTAAGTTCTAGCGGTTAATACAAGCTTGGTTAGATATTCTCTAGTCCTAACTTAGGAGTTATGAAAATATTTTGAAGCTTTTATGGATTTATATCATATGGAAGGGTTTGTTTCTTGCACATTGATTACATTTGGGCTAATAACAAGTTAATATCAATTTTGATTTAGAACTCTGAAAATTATGTTGCACCAGTGAAGCATATATTTATCATTATAATTTTTTATTTAAGCATAAAGTAAGAAGGGTGAAAAGTAAGACAATTCTTGATTATGAATTCAATTATTTTTTATTAATTTGATATATTTGAATGCCTCTTAACCCCCAATTACTGGTTATATCACAGTTATAATTCTTATTTCAGCACTATAAAACTATTTATTACCCTCCTGTATAAAATAATTAATATTGTCTTTGTGAAGATTTTGGAGTACATGGGCATGGACATTGAGTACACTTTTGTCTGGCGGGATCAGGGAGTACATATCATAGGCAGAGACAGGGATTACATTTCATAGGCAGGGACAGGGAGTACATTTCATAGGCAGGAACAGGGAGTACATTTCATAAACTGGGGTAGAGAGGACATTTTCTGTCAGGGACATGGCGCACATTTCTCTGGATGGGACAGTCATCGGTGGGGTCAGGGAGTACATTTCATCGGCGGGGCCAGTGAGTACATTTTATCGGCGGGACAAGGCTTAATTTTGTTGATAATGGAACCATCGCTTTGGCGCAAAAGTTCGCAAAGATACAGATCATAAATTGTACATGTACATAAAACACAAACAGTACGCTATTGGTACACAGGGACATAGTACATAAATATATAAATAGAATTGCTTTTTCGAACGAGCACACAAAATATTTTCTTTTTTCTTTTTTTAATGGATTCCTAAGAAGAAAATAGGAAGAAAATACTAAAAAGATAATAAGGTGATCAAGGAAAGAGGGAGTGAATGAAAAAGGGAGGGAGTAAATTTAGGGAGTAGATATAAAGAAAGGAGCGAACAAATGGGAGGGTGTTAAATGTAGAACAAACCTGAGTGGCTTAGGGGAGTTTGCAAAAAAAGGAATACTGCAAATTTGAGGATTTTGTGAACTAATAAACGATGATTTACAATAGTTATTTTCTCCATTGCGTAGAATGTGAAGATCCTTCAATTTAAACGTGCTAGAGCGAAATTATCAGAATCTGAACCCTATCCAGCTTGTCTTATTTCATCCCAGACATAAATTATCTTAGTTACAAAATTAATCTCTTCTCTCGTCCCAGTAGTTTAGTCCTGGTTTCCAAAGGATTTAAGCTGCTCTAGTTGATACTCCAGTACAACCCGTTCCTCCATGATATCCGATACCTCCTGGTTCAACTCCGTAACCGTCCTGAACACAGCAAACATCGGCAAATGAAAACAAGCCTTTTAAATGGTCAAATCATTTAATTTTGTAAAAAGATTTTTTATTTTTCTCTAATTCCATTACTTCTACACAAAAAGAGGTGGTGTTAAGCTAGATAAAAGCTAATAATATTGTATACTATAATTACAAAAAATAGTTAACAAGACAGAGTTTTGTATTTATCTAACAATAATTCAGGTCACAGCGTTAATTTAATTTTATTAAAACTAGTATTTTTAGTTGTTAAAAAAGGATCGATTCTTTCCAAATGTATCTTATATATCTTTTGTCTATTCCGTATTTGATGGATCCCTTTTATTTTTGATTAATATATAAAAACCAATAATTGAACTTGCCTTGTTAAAAGCGCGACACTCTCCTTATATTTGTGAATATTTGCAGATATTTCTCGTACATCTCGACCTAAAGATATATGATATCTATAATACCTGGATATT